TCTGCAATATATACACCATCCCTTTTCCTACTTACAATCGGTTCTGAAGAACGGCCAGTGTACCCGAATCGTGAACTCTGCTTTCCCTTAACACAGATCTTTGTTATTACAGTACCATTTGTCACGGATAGGTTGACGGAACAACTTCAAGTTTAAGCTGGCAGGTGATAAAGCGCCTACATCGGCCGACGCGTCCCGCCTGAATCGCCATCACGTGACTCCCTGCGCCTGCGCGCGACTTCCAACACCTCACCGCGGCAGCCGCGCGCGCGCTGACACGTGCGGCTGCCATTTTGTGGCAGCTGCGGCGCGGCGTGGTACCCGTTGGTCTACCGTCACTCCCGGGCTTCGCCGGCGGTAAGGGCTCACTCCTCTCCCCTCGTGCACTTACAAACCTTCGCCCCGATCTGGTTTCCACACAGGCCGGCCTGGATGTGCACGATCTCCCGCATTCCGACAGTCGGATTTATAGTACAAGAAACGAGCAGAAAACCAGGCCCCTCATCTCCTTGGCCGTGACTCCGCTATTGGACAGATTAATCAGATTCCCCTCTTTCCTCCAATTGGTCCACTTCAATAGACTGGCTGCTGTTGCCTGGCAATGACTTTAACCCCGCCCTTTTTCTATCTGGCGGTACCTTGTCACAATCTTCTGGGACAAGTGATGACATCTTGGTCATGTAGCATCTTACCTGTGCCTTGTCACATGTCAGGTTTAAAGCTTTATAAACAAAGGCAAGGTATGTAAAAACAAATGTAGTAAGTTATGTTAAACCTTTGTAGCATATTAATTTGGAGCCAGCTGGAATAGTATGTCCAGATTTGGGCACTACATTTGATGAAGAATGTGAAGACTAAGTAGCGAGGGTGAAAGAGACTTACTTGAATGGATTAAAGGATTTCATTTAGTTCATATTTAGGGAAACTGGTGTTCATCTCATTAGTACAGAGAGGAGACCTGGTAAGGATGTTTGAAGTCATGAAGGGTTCAGATAGAAGAATTGAAGAGAAACTTTCTAATAGCTGAAAGGGTTGATAACCAACTTGACAAAAGGACAAATGGTGAATTAGACAGCAAGTGGTCAGAATTTGGAATACGCAGTCTAGTAGGGCAGTATGTACAGGTTTTTTGATAGGCATCAAAAGGGAATTGGATAAATATTTGAAAAAATAATAGTAAGTATCTGAAAAAGTGTTAAAATTGCAGTACAAAAAATATGATGGGAGCACAAGCTGAATGGCCTCTTGTGTTGTACTATTTAATACAAGCAAAACACCATACCTGAAATATAAAAGAAATGTAAAAGTAGTCCATTCAACGCATCAAGTCCACTCTACCACACAATAAGATCATGGCTGATCTGACACTTCTCAACTTCACTTTACAAAATATATTCATTATATGAAAGTGAAAAAGCAAGAAGGTTATGCAGCATCTGTGGAGAGAGAAGCAGATTTGCTGAATATTTATAGTATTTCCATTTTTATATTATTTAAAATGTACTTGGTCAGATTTCACACTAATTAATTTTCATAGGAGTTGACTAAACACTGCAGTCATGAGATGTGAATGTTGGTGGTGACACCAGTATGTCTGTTGCTTATCCCTAATTGCCTTGAAGAAGGTGGTACTGGAGCACTGCAATCTGTGTGGTAAAGGTACTCTCACAGTGCTAATAAGAGGGAGCTTCAGGATCTTTGTCCAGTAATGATAAATGATTGACAAAATGTCTTCAAGTCAGGATGGTGTGTGATTTGGAGGGGAATCTGAAGCTGCCGTTGTTTCCATGCAGCTGCTGACCTGGTCATAGGTCTGGAAGATGCTGTATAAGGAACCTAGGTGAGTTGCTGCATTGCAACTTCTAAATTTAAAATAAATATATTCTTGCTCATTCCTAATCACCCTTGAACTGAGCAACTTGCAAAGCCATTTCAGAGGACAGTCCATGGAATCCCTACAGTGTGGAAATAGGCCATTCGGCACAATGGGTCCACACCAACCCTCCAAAGAGCATCCCATCCAGATCCATCCCCCTGTCCTATCCCTGTAACCCTGCATTTCCCGTGGCTAAAGCACTTAACCTAGACATCCTTGAACACTGGGTAATTTAGCATGGCCAATCCACCTAACTTACACATCTTTGGATGTGGGAGGAAACCAGAGCACCTGGTGGAATCCCACACAGATATGGGGAGCATGTGCAAACTCCACACAGACAATCGCCCGAGGGGGGAATCAAATCCGGGTCCCTGGTGCTGTGTGGCAACAGTGCTAACCACTGAGTGACCGTGCCGCGTTATTGTAAATCCAAAGTCACACGTACTCGTTATCACATAAGCTGGCAGATTTCCTTTCTTCTGGACCATAGTGAACCAGACTTTTTATAAATAACAGTTAATTATAGTTTCACGGTGGCTATTACTGAGACAAGCTTTCAACATCATACTTATTAATTAATTGAAGTCAAATTCCATAAGCTGCTATGGTAGGGTTTGAATTACTATTCCAGTGGCAGTACTACTACACTACAGTTTCCACTTGTATGTATTGTAGCTACATTCCACCAGTGAATGAGGGAGTGAATGGTTAGGGTAGTGGAATAGAATGCCGATCATGCAGGTTGCTTTATCCTGGATGGTGTTAAGCTTCTTGAGTGTTATTTGGCTTGCACTCATCCAGGCAAGTGGACAGTATTCCATCACACTTGTGTATCATAGACAGTTGGCAGGCTTTGTGGGAATCAGGATGTCATCAGAGAATAAAAACCGAAAGAACGGTGGATGCTATAAATCGGGAACAAAAACAGAAGTTGCTGTTAAAGCCCAGCAGGTCTGGCAGCATCTGTGAGGAAAAAAATCAGAGTTAATGTTTCGGGTCTGGTGACCATTCTTCATTCTTCACAGATGCTGCCAGACTTTCTGAGCTTTTCCAGCAACTTCTGTTTTTGTTGTTGAAGGCATTTGATATGCTTGCCTTTCTAGTCACTGCATTGGGTATAGGGATTGGGAGGTCATGTTGTGGCTGTACAGGACATTGGTTAGGCCGCTTTTGGAATAATGTGTGCATTTCTGGTCTCCATGCTATAGGAAGGATGTCATGAAACTTGAAAGAATTCAGAAAAGATTTACAAGGATGTTGCCAGGGTTAGAGGGTTTGAGCTATAGGGAGAGGCTGAGGAGACTGGGGCTATTTTCCCTGGAGCGTTGGAGACTAAGGGGGTGACCTTACAAACATTTGTAAAATCTTGAGGAGGCATGGATAGAATAAATAGACAAGGTCTTTTCCCCAGGGTGAGGCTGTCCAAAACCACAGGACATAGGTTTAATGTGAGAGAGGAAAAATTTAAAAGGAACCTAAGGGGTAACTTTTTCACGCAGAGGGTGGTGTGTGTATGGAATGAGCTGCCAGAGGAAGTGATAGAGCCTGGTACAATTGCAACATTTAAAAGGCGTCTGGATGGGTATATGGTTAGGAAAGGTTTAGAAGGATTTGGGCCAGATGCTGGCAAATGGGACTGGATTTATCCAGGATATCTGGTCGGCATGGACAAGTTGGACCGAAAGGTCTCGTTCTGTGCTGAACATCTTTATGACTCTATAAATAGAAGAATAGCACATGCCAGCATAAAATCAGACTTGTTCTTAAACTTGCAAGTAATCCCTGTCATGGCCAACTCCTTTTATCCTTTCAAGGTTTGTGTGCATCACTAGCAAGCCAATATTTGTTACCTATCCCTAGTTGCTCATGTGAATCGCTGCAATTGTATAGGGCCTTGTGAAACCACACCTGGAATATTGCGTGTAGTTTTGGTCCCCTTGTCAGAGGAAGGATGTTCTGGCTATGCATGGAGTGCAACGAATATTTGCCAATTGATTGCTGGGCTGGCATGACTAACAATATGAAGAGAGACTGGATCAGTTAGGACTATATTCACTCGAGCGGGGGTGGGGTTAAGTGTCATAGAAACTATTAAAAAATAATAGGACTGACAGGGTAAACACAGGAAGGACATTCCCAATGACTAAGGAGTCCAAAACCAGGGGATACATTTTAAGGGTATGGGTTAGGCTATTTGGGACTGAGACGAGAAATTTCTTCACAAGAAGAATGGTAAGCCTGTGGAAGTCTTTGCCGCAGAAAACGGTTGAGGCTTTGACATTGACTGTTTTCAAGAGGTATTAGATATAGTTCTTAGGGCCAAATGGATCAAAGGGTATGAGGGAAAAGTTGAAATAGGAGGCTGAATTGGATGATCAGCCATGATTGTATCGAATGGCAGAGCAGCCTTGAATGGCTGATTGGCCTACTCCTATTCCTGTTTCCTATATTTGTTGTGACTGCACTCATTCAGACAAGTGGAGAGTGTTTCATCACATTCCTGACTTGTGCCTTGCGGATGGTGAGCAGGATTTGGGAAGACAGAAGGTGAGTTACTTGCTGCACAATTCCCAAACTGTGACCTGCTATTGTAATGACAAATTTTAACTGACTGGTCTAATTTAGTTTTTAGTTAATGGTAACCTGTAGGAAATTAATAATGAGAAAATCAGCCATATTGTTGAATGTCAAGAGCAGATGGTTGGAATCTTATTGGAGGTGGTCATAGCCTTCACTTTTTTGGCATGAATATTAAATGCCACTTATCAATCCAAACCTCAAAACTGTCCAGGTCTTGCTGCATTTAGACACAGATTATTTCAGTAGCTGAGGTGTTGTGAATGGTGCTGAACATTATACAATTATTTCCACTTCTGAATTTGTAATGGAAGAAGGTGATTAATGAAACAGCTGAAGATATTAGGGCCTAGGACACCACCCTGAGGAACTCCTGCACTGAGATGATTGGCCTGCAACAGCCATAATCCTCTTCATTTGTGCTAGAAATTACTGCAAGCATTGAAGAGTTTTCCCCCGATTTCCTAACTTTTGACAGGGTTCCTTGAGCTCCAAATGGTGCATTAATGTCAAGGGTAATCATTATCAATTGAATCTTTTAATTGAATTGAATCTTTTATTGTCACGTGCATTAAATATAAAATACCATGAAATGTTTATACCGTTGCCATACAACAGCACCATTCTCATTAGCTTAAAATAAAAAAAGAACATAACTTGAAGAGAGTCCAACTTTTCCTTATACAGTC